TCCGATGCCATGGAGCGCTTTAAAGGTGGTAACTAACACCTTAAAGCGTACCCGGAAGGCCACTGGTAACCAGTGCAGCTCGCGCAGCAGCGGTGTTACGTGGGAGCGATGAGTCCCTCCCAACACCGCCCGCGCGGCCGCATTCTGGACCAGTTGAAGCCTCCGGATGCTCCTCACAGGGAGCCCCATGTATAGAGCATTACAGTAGTCCAGGCGGGAGGTGACGAGGGCATGAGTGACTGTGCGCAGAGCGTCCCGGTCCAGAAAAGGACGCAACTGGTGAATCAGGCGAACCTTACTACTTTTGAGTAGTAAGGTTGCTGCACAATTTTGTTTTGTTTTTTGCATTGATGGAGAGAGATGAACGGGACAGATGAAATGCAGCACTAGCTCCAGAAATTAATCTATCCCCAGGATTGTTATATTTGCTTTTATTTATCTGGACATATTTTGTCTCTATTGCAGATGCATGCAAATGCATATAAACCTTGTGCATACAAAGGCCAGTTGGCGAGTTTCCATGGCAGGGAAGACTTAAAAAGAACTGGTTAAAAATAGTAATACAAATGTTTATGTTCTGTATTTATGTTTGGCACTACCAGTTCATTTTTATCTTTGCCACAACTGAAGCCTTCCAGTAAGCAAGTGGGCCAGAAGCAGGCAAAAACTTTTGGGCAAGGCTTAGCTGTGTCCACCTGTCTTTTTTCTCCCTCATGTCAAGTTCCCTATACTGATTTTGAGACAAGAAGTAAGCCTATCTCTGTTTTTTCTTGTTTAAACCAATTTACTTCTTTAGTGTTCAGAGACAGAGAGGGAGAAACAAAGACACTAAAGTGAATAGAAAGCAACAAAGTATATTATATATATTTAATGTGATATTGAACTTTGACCACACAGAATAAAAATTGATCATATTTCCATTACATTGATAGGAAGCCAGTTCACAAAAACACATATCAATCCAGTCTTTGGTTGTACACATTATCCAACATTTAAAAAAACATCCATGACATTGTACCTTATGTAATCCTCCCCATATTAAATATTTTTATTTTTAACATATAATCTAAATGTAGATACATACTTTTAAACTGTATTGAATTTTGTAACAGATTAAGAAACCTACCATTATTAAAAGAGAATAGGACAGTTGTGAAGATTTCCTATGATTAAATATTTTCTCTGTGGAGTCCTGGAAGAATGGTTGTGCTCCAGGCTTTGAATTAGCTTTGTTTCAAAGGAATGAAAGACCAAACAGTGTGTATGGTCAATGCAGATGTTTGTAGAATCTAGTGGTTTCATCAGAGTGATAAAACAAGTATCACAATATTATGACTTAAACTCTCCCTGGAGTGAAATTGTGAAAGATGGACAAAAATCTCTGTGGAACACTGAAGGGAAAAACTACAGGCATAATGAAAAAGCTAATATGTGGCTTTCTGATACCATGACACGGACCTGGTTGCATTTTTAGTAATGGAATTACTAAACTCTGTTGTATTTCTTGGATGGATTGCTGCAGTGTTTATTTGGAAAATATTGTGACAGAAGTATCATTTCAACTTTTATACATTTTCTATTTTCCAAAGCGCCTAAAGGCAGGACAAGAAGCAACAGATGGAAACTAATCAAGGAGAGAAGCAACCTAGAACTAAGGAGAAACTTCCTGACAGTTAGAACAATTAACCAGTGGAACAACCTGCCTCCAGAAGCAGTAAATGCTGCAACACTGGAAGTTTTTAAGAAGAGACTGGACAGCCACTTGTCCGAAATGGTATAGGGTTTCCTGCCTGAGCAGGGGGTTGGACTAGATGACCTCCAATGTACCTTCCAACTTTATTTTTATTATTATTATTATTATTATTATTATTATTATTATTATTATTATTATTATTATTATTATTATTATTATTATTATTATTATTATTATTATTATTATTATTATTATTATTATTATATGTTGTAAATGTTCACTTTACGAAAATTCCAGTTCTGAAAGTATTTGTTTTTAAATTTGGTTATTAATACTTTTTGCTGGCAAGAGACTACTGAAATTTAAAACAATCTTATTATTAAAAGAGGAATTTTAAATTTTTAGAACTACGGAATGGCAATTTATTTTAATTCATTTAGTTAAAACACCTCTTGGTACTACAATTTGGTCATACGCATCCACAGCATCTAAAGTATTCAAATTATTGCCAGTTTTGAAATGAGTTTAGGATATTAAATTCTAGAGTATTTTTAAAATCAACAAAGCATCACTAAGATGGATATTAATTGCAAGAATTCTGGAATAAGAAGTTGGAATATCTCATATTAAGAAATCTGTAGTTAAGAGACTTAAAAATATTAAGTACATTATAGTGTTAAAATCAGACCAATTCATTAAATTTTTCTTTTGTATATATTGGTCACCTCAGGTCCAATTAACAAGACTTGACTATCAACCTTATTTGTTTGTTTGTTTGTTTCTTTATTTATATATACAATTTAACAGAATAACAGAGTTGAAAGGGACCTTGAAGGTCTTCTAGTCCAACCTCCTGCTCAAGCAGAACCCTACACCATTCCAGACACATGGCTGTTCTATCTCTTCTTAAAAACCTCCAGTGATGGAACATTAACTCTGGAGGACATACAAAATTAAAAAAATACAATTATTTAAACAAGCTAGCATCTGAAGTCACAGTAATTCCAATTTATAAGAAAACAATATTAATTGGAAGAGTTTGCTTAGCCTCCTGGCTCAAATGCCTAAGGGAATAGCCAGGTGTTTAATGGCTTACAAAAGGCTAACTGGATCTACAGATCTCTGTGTTACATAAACCAGGAAGAACCCCGTTCCCTAAAAATTGATGTCTTGATTATTTTTGATTCAGTATCATATGGTTAAGAATAAAAAGGAATAAAAGTTGATTTGTTGAGTTAGAATTATGCACCACACACCCGCTTACTTCAGGACTGCCGCAGCCATGCCTCCCACGCCCTGACACATCAAGCCAGTGCCACTGCTCATGATGGGATGCTGCATGATGTATCGTGCTGGTGCCACTGCTTGTGGCACCGGCACTCGCGGCACCGGCACTCGCGGCACCAGAACAGTACACCACGTGGCCTCTGCTCCGAGCAGCCGCCAGCAACCAGAAGAAGTGGGCCAGCGTCCACACAGGCTCCTGCTGGGTGGAGCTGCCGGTGAGGCAGGTGTTGGGGCATGGGAGGCCTGGCTGCGGGGTGGTAAGCGGGTGTGGAGGGCGTGGGGCAGCCCCACCCGTGTCCTAGCTTGATTTTTACATGTGTGCCTCGCCCCATCCCGTGCAATCAGATGGTGGGACAGAGTGGACAGGGTCTTAACTAGGGCTTATTTTTGGGGTAGGGCTTATATTAGGTACACATGTAAAAATCAAGCTGGGGCTTATTTGCTGGATAGGTATTATAGCACTTAGACTTATATACTGCTCCATAGTGCTTTACAGCACTCTCTGAACAGTTTACAATATCAGCATACCGATCCAATAATCTGCGTCCTCATTTTATCAACCTCGGGAAGATGGAAGGCTGAATCAACCTTGAACCCCATCAGAATCGAACTCCAGGCTGTGGGCAGAGTTTGCCTGTAATACTTCATTCTAACCACTGTGTCATCAAGGCTCTTAGAATGATGAAGTAGCAGCCTATAAGAATTAAAGTTTGGAATAGCTGCTATATCATTTGGAAAAGAGAAATATCCTAACCCAATAAATTACTATTTTTACATATTTCCTCTATTGTTATTGTTTCTCTATAATCAATAGTTTGTTCTCTGAAAATCATTAATGAAGAAACAAAACTACATTTGCTTATACAAAGAAGAATCATTTCTTCCTATCTCCATCCATCCATCCATCCATCCATCCATCTTTGCATAACATTTAATCTATTAGTAAATTAACCTATTTTCTTGATTTATATAGTACTTTCATTCATAAGATAGTCAAATGAATTCTTATAACAAACTAAGCCACAATGTTGCTTATTGGGGTAAAAACTGAGTTTATCATGTACATAAGCAGCAGGTAAGTTTATAAATGATCAGATTCAAATTATTATGGAAAAAATTGTTCGGTTACTAGTCTGCTGTTCTTCTCTTGCTAACCTTATTTCATTTGGATGAATTAAAACACCTATAAAGCTGTGTTATCTGTAGCTGTGAAAGCATGAGATGGCGTTGAGCCACTTTATACAACTACTTAGATTTACTCGTTGTATGTAGCCTGCTTTACAAGATCTTATTTCTAAAATCCTACTAAAGAAAATGACTTCATGGTGTTTTTATTAAACTCTGCTGTTGAAACTATGTTAATTGCATTTTCAGGCGTGAAACCACAATGGCAGGTAACAGTTTGGTCCTGCCAGTCGTGCTGTGGGGACGCAAAGCTCCTACTCACTGTGTATCTGCTACACTATTAATGGATGATGTTTCAATGATTGTCACAGGATGTCATGATGGTCAGATATGTCTATGGGACCTCTCTTCAGATTTAGAAGTAAGTTTATATCATGGAATTAGAAAACATTTCAGAATAATACATAAGTTGTATTTGAAATGTGGTTTTAGAAATATAGTTTAAGTATATTTCTATACAGTTGTACAATTGGGTACATTTTTTTATAATTTCCTGAATTCTATGCTTTTCCCAGGAAAGTCCTTGCTTCCAAGGCTGATTAATCAGAACAGTCAATATATGTTATTGGTATTCATAGGCTTGCTTTTGTGAGGGTGTGGATTTTTTTTAAAAAAATAAATCATTAAACCATGGAAAATCACTGAACTCTGTTGAAAAGTGACTCTGCAGGGCTTCCTTTCTCCCCTGATCCTTTGGAGGTGAACATACTTAATTTAATTTAAAAAGAATAACTAATTCAAATACTGATTTTGGAATGTATTGTTTCTGTTTCTCCAATGCTGCTTCTAAAACAGCATTGCTGATTTATTTATTTCTAAGGCATACAGAGCGCTTGTAATTTGGACTGAGCCTTTGAGCAATTTTGACATCCAAGCAAATAACCTAGAATCTAAAATTGTTATTGAATATCCCTTTTTGTTTGATTACACTCAGTTGCATTTGCAGCATATTCATGCAGAAAGTAACAGGGTAAATATTCTCTGTTTTCCACTTGTAACATTAGATAAGAAAGAAAAGGGCGGCTAGTGCCTAATTAGATGCTGTTTTGGAATGCAAAGCACAGTGTCAAATACAGCTCCCAGGGACTATCCTGACCATCTTTCACATATTGGATCAAAGACTTCAATTTTCATGAATTGTAAATAAATCAATCCATGGAACCGTCTTGCAAAGAAATATTCGTTACCTTTAAAATATTTTTTGAAAGAACAAGATGAATGATTTGTGTGATGCATGCCTTTTATTCAGAATAATTAAAACTATGTCAAAGCTCTAAGCTCAAACTATATCTGCAGTAAGTTTTTCACCTCTCATGGTGTTGCTATTAGGCTAGAGACCTTGAGAATTGGATCCCTTCCTAGATAATTTGGGAAAGGGTTAAAAACACTCTTAATGGTAGATCATAACTTTGGAATAGCTATTGCCAAATTGACAGTCTTCATGCTTGAATGACTTGGGCAACCTACTTTTCAAAATTATCATGAAGAATAATATGTTCTCAACTTTTTATACTTTGTTTTCCCAAATTACCGGAGATAGAGGTATTCCCTCATAATTGGAGAAATAAATGTATGAAAAGTTTACAAACGTGTGTTATTCTCATGCCTTTAACTATGCTTTTTATTTTGTAATAATATTTGAAATTACTTAGAGTCATTTCTATTTTTTTCTCCCTGATTCTAGATAAATCCCAGAGCTCTGTTGTTTGGTCATACAGCATCAATCACTTGTTTATCCAAAGCCAGTTCTTCAAGTGAAAAACAGTATATAGTCAGTGCATCTGAAAGTGGGTAAGGATTTGCTTTTGAACCAAATTTTCTGTCGACGACTGAATTAATTTAGGTCTCTTATAATACTATATTAAATATTATCTTAAAATCTGCCTGGGCAGGTTATTTTTGCCTTCAAAGGCAGTCCAAGTATAATTTTTGCATCATCCTTCTACATCTCTCCTTCCTAAAATGCTCATTCAATAAACAATGTCCGAAATGGTATAGGGTTTCCTGCCTGAGCAGGGGGTTGGACTAGATGACCTCCAAGGTCCCTTCCAACTTTTTATTATTATTATTATTATTATTATTATTATTATTATTATTATTATTATTATTATTATTGTTGTTGTTGTTGTTGTTGTTGTTGTTGTTGTTATTAAATTGTGGGGCTGAAAATGATTGCTTAACACCTACATTGCCCTCTATTTCTTCTTGTAGAGAAATGTGTCTTTGGGATGTGAATGATGGAAGGTGCATTGAATTTACAAAATTAGCCTGCACACATACTGGCATACAGGTAAATACTTTAAGTATGGATTAAACTACAGGTAGTCCTTGACTTACAACAGTTCTTTTAGTGATCGTTCAACGTTACAAAGGCCCTGAAAAAAGTGACTTTTGACCATTTTTATAGTTACGACCATTGCAGCATCCTCATAATCATGTGATCAAAATTCAGATGCTTGGCAATTGGTTCATATTTATGATCATTGCTGTGTTCCAAGCTTCAGTGATCCCCTTTTATGACCTTGTGACAAGCAAAGTCAATAAAACCAGATTTACTTAACAACCGGGTTACTAACTTACCAGCTGCAGTAATTTACTTAACAACTGTGGCAAGAAAGGTCACAAAATGGGGCAAAATTCACTTAACAAATGTCTCACTTAACAACAGAAATTTTGGGCTCTATTGTGGTCGTACGTTGAGGACTACCTGTAGTTATGTCTAAATATACATGAATACCTAGGCTTCAGTGTAACTGCTTTTAAACTTTGCTTTAATCTGATATGGTTTTCAAGTACTCAAGTACACGATACAAGTATATCAGTAATAAGTATTTTTATGTGATGAAATATTTGAAAACTGAAACTGTTAATAATCTTTGGGAGAATTGGCAAAACAACCACAAATAAATAAATAAAATTATGGCTGTATTCTGAGACAGTTAAAGGAACCTGTTTTTGCTGTCTTTTAGGAGCCAGCTGGAATGCAGAAATAGTGAAAGTCAGGTAATTTGTTGTAGGGTAAATTTGATTTAAATAAAATTGATTTAAATAATGATTTATATCACTAGTCAGGAAAATTCATTTTAATTATTTACTAAGTCAGAAAGATTCCATTAATCATTAGTTTCTTCTCAAAATACTTGATACAACCTTATGATATACTCAGAAAAAGAAGTAGTTTTCAGTTTTAGGTGGTAGATATTCACTTTTATTATAAAGCAACATTTTTACGTTAATTTTCATTAAATTCATTAACAGGATTGATGGTTTGATCATTTTATTTAGTATCCAAGTGGACATGTGCTTGTGAATGATTAGTATATGAAATAACTCCAGTTGAATTTATCAGGACTGTTTACCATAACCATTGTTCTAATCAATTGTATGAGCTTGGCAAAAGAGGTGACTGCTTTTAATTGTTCACAAAAAGTAGACCTACATTTTGTTGAATACCTCTTTGAAAACTTACTATAGTCTTTTGTATTTTCAATGATTAATACTTTCTGAGCTAAGTTGATTTTTAACAAAAAAAATTTAAAAAAACTTGCAGATCTGATATACATTCTAAAAATGGTGTCAGTTAATTCACTTTTTAAAAATTATTTGTTTTTACTCTCCTGGATTGATTGCTAGGATGCTGTATTAACAACAATGACTAAGCAGTTGTGAGCATGCATGATACTTATAAAGAAAATCTGGTTATCTGGCATTTGGGGTGCCACACATTAGACTGGGTCTGATGTCATTCTTCCATTCTCTTTTAGTTCTATCAATTCACAGCTGGGACTCAGCGTGAAGGGAGATTGTTGTGTCATGGCCATTATCCAGAAATTCTTGTTGTGGATGCTACCAGCCTTGAAGTTCTTTATTCCTTGGTGTCAAAGATTTCTAAGGACTGGATCAGTTCTATGAGCATTATTCGATCTCACAGAACACAAGGTGAGCCAATAACCATAGCTCAGACTCTTATTTTTTCAAGAATTGTCTTGGCAACCATAAATAATAACAATAACTTGTATGCTATCTGACTTCAAACAACTCTGGCTCACAACCGTCCAAGATATTACAATGAAATCTATAAAAGATAAAATGTGGCAAGGACCACAGACCAAATGGAATGAAGTGAGGGCCTCATAGTCCCTTGTCAAAGTCCTGGGTGAAGCAATAATAAGTAGACAAATTAATAAATCATTAAAAAAGCAGGGCATGAATCAGTTCAGTCACATCTGAATTTGGCTTTGCATAATTCTTGCTGATGCTGCAACTATCCCTCAGTCCTAAGATTAAGCGATGTGTTTTGGGTTTGGTTCACGTAGCGCTACTATTTTCTCTTACTAAACTTTCAAGTGAGATTTTTCCAGTTCATTCCAGTTTTCCTCAGAACGTTTGTTTGATAGTATCTCATCTAGGAAGAAAAGTACAATTGCTTCTCCATGAAGTAAAACTTGACTAAGATTTATCTTTAGTGCCCAGTTAGAAAAAATCTTTTTCTGAGCCTTATCTATGGGAGGGTAATTTTGAATTTGAACCCCGCCTTACATGATAGATCTGCAAAATCAGGGGTCTTCAAACATAGCAACTTTAATTCTTGTGGACTTCAATTCCCAGAATTCCCCAGCCAGCATAGCTGTTGAATTGAAGTTGAAGTCCACAAGTCTCAAAGTTGCTAAATGTGCAAAATGATACATTTTAACCACTTTTTAATTAACTTGTAATATATTTATATTTAGTGCCTGTTTAGTGTAGCAGTTAAAATATCAGTCTAGAACAGGGATATCAAACTGCCGGCCCGTGACCCGGACGTGTCATCCGGAAGCTGCGCCCACCCCATTGCCGGCAATAGCAAAACTGTCCCGATCCGTTGCGTGACGTCACGTGACGTTGCGAGTTTGACATGCCTGGTCTAGAACATGCGAGTTTGCCAAGAAAACTGCAGGGACTTGTACAGGCAGTCTCTGAGAGACAGACATGATTGAATGGAAGAAAAAAAATGTATATATTTATTCAAGAACATTAGGATAGCATGAAGTTTAGAAGAATGTTACAGTTATTTCATGTCATGGCTATTTTAACTAACTTGGGTAGCGGAACTATGTTGACATTCATTTTCTGTTACCATGTGCTGGGTACATGATGAAATGGATGTAATTTGCAGATCTAATTTGCAAATTAGACCAATTTAAAAAAGAAAGACCAGGTATGGTAACAGGAAAATTACATTTAGGAACTATTAGTATTCATAAAATATTCATTTTTCACTTAAACTTTATTTAAAAGTCAGGTTTCAACTGCGCCATGGCTCAGTGGTTAAGATGCTGGGCTTGCCAGCTGGAAAGCCAGCAGCCCAGGTTCAACACCTGAGCTCCCCACGATGGAGTGAGCTCCCGTCCTTGCCTCAGCTCCTGCCAGCCTAGCAGTTTGAAAGCATGCAACTGTGAGAAGATTAATAAGTACCACTTTTGTGGGAAAGTAACAGCGCTCTGTGATGTCATGTGACCGCACATGATGTCATAGACAGCATTGGTTCGGACAGCACTGGTTCAATAGCTTTGAAATGGAGATATGAACTGAAGAAGCTTCGTGGATGAGTAGTGAAACTTCTTCAAGGAAACACAAGGTCCAATTGCTTTTTGAAAAAGCACCTTTGGGACAACCATGACCTAAATAACTGAGAATCTCCATTAGCGATTGAACAGAATATTTTGCTCCTGTCTGTTTCCCACTTACTATTATCATATGTATTCCCTTGACCTTCTCAACTCAAGAATGTGATGTGTAATAAATACATTTTTTAGGTTTTATCCTCAGCATCTTTTTTTATTGTGTTAGTCAGATAAACACTACTGAATTTATGTAATAATTCTGATTCTATGTGTCTTGTGGGATAATGATTATTTTGTTTGTCTTCTCTAGAGGACACTGTTGTAGCAGTATCTGTGGCTGGCATTCTTAAAGTATGGATTGTAACTTCTGAAATGAGTCACATGCAGGTAAGGAAAAACATTATAAATATAGTTTATAATGATGAACTTCTTTTCTAGTGTGTGGCTTTTTTTTTTTTGCAGTTGATTGACTTTTTTTCACTGTTATCTTTGAAAGGTAGGTGTGCTTTTAGCAGGTGTTCTGTTTCTGCTCAGATATGCTCTCCCTGATGCCCAATGGTTATTTATAATTTGTTAAGCAGAAGGTTTGTTTCTTTTTCTTAAGCTTTATACAGACAGAGAAGACTTGATATTGTAAACTGTGGATTAAATGTTCTCTGTATTTTATCTGTTTCAAGAAAGAGGAATTCATTCTTATCATGTTCCTAGGTCTCAAACAGTTTCTTCCCAACAAGCCTTGAATTCTAAATAATGATAGTATACCATCGTGGTATTTTAGAATGATACACCAAATTTAAAAATAAGGATGGAATGCATACTGACAAATATATTTATATTTTGAAATCTTTCAAGCTAGGATTCAAGGTTACAAAAGGAACAAAGAGAATTGGAAAAGAGTAATTTGGAAAGGAGAAGTAGAGAAATAAAAGTTTCTTGTAGATTATTGCATAAAAGACTTTACATTTGTCCTTACTTTTAATCTCTTTCAAGGATACGGAGCCCATCTTTGAAGAGGAATCTAAACCAATTTACTGTCAGAACTGCCAGAGCATTTCCTTCTGTGCATTCACCCAAAGATCGCTTTTGGTAGTTTGTTCTAAATACTGGAGGGTAAGGATAACCAGTTAAGTGAAAGCTGGCTTTTCTTTGTTGTTCAGTCTCCTGTACTCAAATTGTGCATGAGGCAAGCATGCAATAATTAATTAATTAATTAATTAATCTCCAGACAGTCGGATTCTAAATTGATTAGTCTACAGCAGGGGTAGGCAACCTTGGCTCTTTTATGACTCGTGGACTTCAACTCCCAGAATTCCTAAGCCAACATAGCTGGCTGGCTCAGGAATTCTGGGAGTTGAAGGCCACGAGTCATAAAAGAGCCAAGGTTTGCTGGTCTACCCCTGGTCTACAGTGATTTCTCTGCAGAGCTAATTGCCTTTGTGTGCATAAGCTCACATCGTAGTTGCTCGATTGCTACTTTCATAGAAAACTACAACTATTTATCCAGACCTTAAAATAATATTTACTAGAATAATCACAGTGCTTTTGCTTTCAAACTTTTTTCTTTAATTTTTTTTAGAGAATTACTTCTGATACCGAACGTATACTTTGTGCAGTGTTTTTGTATCTTGCCTCCTTATATGGCCTCTCATACATAAGAATGATACATTTTTTTTCTGCAGGTTTTTGATTTGCTGAATTGAAATTTTTTATTGATCGTTTATATCTTTGTTTTGTGTTTCTAAATGTTCTTTAGTATCCTAAATTGTAAATTTCACTGAGTGTCTTTTGGGTTGTTTTTTTTTTTATTTTATTGAAAGGGTTTAATAAATAAATGCAATTATTGTTTTTTATAAATAAAGCACTAATAGCAGAAACTGTAAGAAAGGCTATTTGCATTTATGTTTATTAATTTACAATCAATTTATGTTATGTAATTACTTTTCTTTAGGTTTTTGATGCCGGAGATTATTCCTTGTTATGCTCAGTCCCAAGTGAAAATGGACAGACATGGACAGGAGGTGATTTTGTGTCAGCAGACAAAGTAATAATATGGACTGAAGATGGACAAAGTTTTATATATATACTGCCAGCCAGGTATGTGATATTAATAGGGCATAAATAAAAAAATGCATAAAGAAATAAATGCATACATAAATAAATACATTTATAAATAAATAAATAAATAAATTTTATTTTTCATAATTTATTTTCATAATTTATATGCCGCCCTTCTCCCCACGGGACTCAGGGCGGCTCACAGCATATTAAAATAACACAATACAAACAACACACACAACATTTCCCCTATAAAAGCCAATTAAAACCGAATATTTGTAGCTGTGACATTATTAAAATCATTAAAAATTATCCCTATTTAAAATTCACCCTAGGTCAGTCCCG